TCTTGCTCTCCCTCACCTCCTTCTGGCACCCTCATGATTTGAATGTTGGTACACTTGAAGTTGTCCCAGAGGCTTCTTACACTGTCTTCATATTTTTGGAATTTTTTTTCTTTTTGCTCTTCTAATTGGGTGTTTTTTGCTTCCTCGTATTCCAAATAGTTGATTTGATTCTTGGAGTCCTCTACTCTATTGCTGAATCTCTGTCCATTATTTCAGTTAGTGTATGCTTAATTTCTTTCTGGTCCTTTTTCATGTCTTTGACGTTCTCACTAAGATCTTTAAAAGTCTCACTAAGATCCTGGAAGCTCTCATGAATATCTTTGAGTAACCTTATAATCATGGTTTTGAACTCTGTATCCAGTAAATTGCTTGATTCCATTTCTTTCATTTGTGATATGTCTTCACATTTTGGCAGCTTCCCTGTGTTTGTTTCTATTTATTAAGTAGAGCTGCTATGTCTCCAGGAATTGGTAGAGTGGCCTTGTGTATTAGGTGTCCAGTGGCTCAGCCTCCCGTCACCTGAGCTTGGCACTCTAGGTACACCCATGAGTGGGCTGTGTGCACAGTCTTTTAGTTAAGCCTTGACTGCTATTGGCATCACAGGGAGGAGTTGATCTCCGGCCAGTTGGCTGTGAGGACCAGTTGTGACTACAATGAAAAAGCTGCTGTGCAGGAAACACCTCTATGACATAGGACAGTGATGGCAAACCTTTTGAGCTCGGCATGTCAGCATTTTGAAAAACCCTAACTTAACTCTGGTGCCATGTCACATATAGAAATTTTTTTGATATTTGCAACCATAGTAAAACAAAGACTTATATTTTTGATATTTATTTTATATATTTAAATGCCATTTAACAAAGAAAATCAACCAAAAAAATGAGTTTGCGTGTCACCTCTGACACGCGTGTCATAGGTTCGCCATCACTGACATAGGACTTGCTTCAGTGGGGCTTTGGTGCTCACTGTATCTGCTCCTTGCGTATGTCACTTATGGATATGTAGAGTTGTATTCTGGTGTGGTCTGAAGCTGTCCACCTGGTGTACTGGCTCTAAGGTCTTCAGGGAGGTGCAAAGTCAGCCATTGCCTTGGGCCACTTAGCAGGATGAGATCTGCAAATGGATGCTATTTGTATTGGGCTTAGAAGTGCCCAGGTGAGGCCCAGCTGTGAAGCAAGGCCAGCTGGTGCTAGTGCCAGGTCTTGGCTTTTATTAATAGGTTTGGGGCATGCTGATACCATCTGCAGCTTTTTGAGAGATTTTAGCAGTCTGAAGCCTGAACTAGGACAGGACATTCATATTGAAAAACTGCTGCAAACAGCTTGGGTGGGGCTGCAATTTGGATGGGATCTCAGGGAATCACCAGGGCAAACAGTTTAACCCCTAGAGTGCCGGGGAGCGCGATTGTGCTCCTCCTGTCTTTCACCAAAAGTGCCGGGAGCGCTATCAAAGCTTCGAAATGGCGTCCAGTTCTAAGTCTGCTTTGATTAGTGATGACGATATTGCTAAATATGTCAATGTAGTAAAGGTTTCCTTAAGTTTTTGAATATGTAACTTCATTTACTTGCAATTCATAATTTTTTTCCTAAACTGCTGTAAAATCAGCAAAAATGCCTTGGCAATTTTAGCATAGTTCCTAGGATATTGGTTGGCACTCAAAGGGGTAAGCCAGGCTGATGGAGACACAGATATAGATCCTGCCAGCCAGCTCTGCAACAGGGGTAATGACCCCTGCAAGTATCCCCATCTGGGATTAAGCTGCTCCCAAGTTCCTGCCCTGATGCCAGACAATTCAGTTCCAATATGTTTCTGGGTCCCTTAAAGCTGCCCAGTACTGGAGCTTAGAAGGATTAAGTCTAAGTAAGTTTGTGCACTGGCCCTTTAAAAGGAACACTTGGGTCTCTAGCAACCTCTGTATCGTGCATCTCCGATCCCCACTGGTCTATATAGCCTGTAGTTACCAGGACTTTTCTTCCCAACTCTGGAATCCTGGGCTAGGACCCCTTGCTCCTGACGGGCAGCCTCCTCAGCAACGATCCCCCTCCCAGCTAAAAAAAAAGGGCACACGTGGGTGTTGGACTAGCCCATTTCATGCCTGTGCCCCTCCTACCAGTCTCAATGTGCTTACTTCTTTACTTCTCTAGTTGTAGGACTTCCATTCAGCTAGCTTTCAGGTGGTCCTGAATAATGGTTGTTCTATATTTTAGTTGGAATTTTGATGTGGTTATAGGAGCAGTGTGTACTGACACCTACTCGCCATCTTGGTTCTCTTTACACATTACATTTTCAAACAATTGGACAGGTCAGGTCACTTTATTCAGGATAAAAAATTTCTATTACTTTTCTATTAGACTGCTAGATTTGACTTGGCATTTTAATTTGAATATTCAAATATGATGAATACAATGTACTGTTTTTTATAGCTGATTTGGATACTTTCCTTACCCAAATTTGGTCAACGGGTTATGCTAACCTTATAACTATGATTCTTTGTATATTGAACACTTAGAAGATTTTATCTGTAAGATACTCTGGTAATAGAGGAATAACATGGTGTAGTTCTTTAATTAGTTTTTTCTTGATTCTTACTTGATTCAGGAAAATAATACTTTTCTAGGATTTCAGACAACTGTAAAAAAGCTGAATATAATTAGGCACACTGCAAAATACTCTAAACACATATTTCCTATGAATTACCAAATCACAGTTGAATGTGCATATACACATATAGGCATATTGTAGTTTGCTTTATTGCATGTCACAGATGTTACATTTTTTTTGTTTTTACAAATTGAAGGCAAGACTCTCCAAAAGCAAAAGGATCATGACTCACTTTAATGCCATACTCAATATATTGTAGTGCTCTTAAACCATACCTGAAATATGTCCAAGGTATTAATATATGTTGAAGAAAGTAATGCTTTTCCACAATTTGTTATACTGTAAAAATATGATAAACAATGTTCCATCTTACTAAAGTTGAATAAATGTGTATATTCATAAAAATATTTTTTCCTGAGACTCAAATATATTATGAAAAGTTGAGTATAAACTTATAACAGGTATGATGGAGTTTCTTATTTCACACCAAGTCCAAGAACAGGGCAGTTCTGAATTGTTTCATCAGCTCAACAATGTTAAGGACAAAGGTAATTCCAACCTATCCCATGCCAATCTGTCTCTTACCCCTCTGGTTGCAAAATGGCCATAATTCCAGGTATCACAGACATATAGACATGCAGTCTGTATAAAAGAGGACTATTTCCTCCTATTTTGTTAGGAAAGAAAACTTAACTGAAGCTCATTTGCAGACTTTTGCTCAATTCTCCTATGGCCAGGACTGGTATACATATGCCAAGATGCAAAGCAAACTAGGTGAGCAAGCATCTTGCATTTAGACTTAAGTGGGTGGCAGGTAACCCTGGCAAAGGGAGAATAGTTAATACCAATGAATAGGCAACCAACAGTATCAGCCACAATAATATTGTCTTATTCCTTTAAATATCCTCCACTTTTGTAGTTATATATCCTCTCTTATTCATGAGATTTTTTTCTTTATAGGATACAGTGTTTTTCATTTCAAAAAATGTTTTCAAGTTTTCTTTCATTTTTGGCCCTATAATTATTTTGTTAGAACTCTTCAACATATGAGGGTCAAATGCTTATTCATTCATTCTCTTACTCCTTCAATCATCAATGTTTACTGGGAACCTACCAGGAACAGAGAATGGGCAGTGTACCAAGTATAGTTAAGTGGGAAAGTATCCTGGCCTTAATTTTTTCTGTTTCCTACACATATTGAAAGAAGTAAATTTTCCTCAAGTATTGCATTGCTATATCCTGCAAATTTCAACATGTAGTCTTCTCTTTGTTATTCATTATTAATGATAATTTGCCTTTTAATATAAAAATATTTATACAGTTATCTTTTAAATTTCCACATAGAAAAAAATGGATTTAGACTAAGGCTTTGTTATTTTCTAATTATCCAGAACAGAAGCCATAGAGTGTGCCCTATGTCATTTTTTTAAGGTCTTAATATATCATCCAGGTCTTCACCCTGACCTCATAGCTACCCACTTTTATTCTATTGGGGTTCTTTACATTATGAATCTTCTGATGGGACAAAAAATAAGCTATGATAAAAGTTTGTTTTTAATTTTTCTCCAGAAGGAATTACTTACCATTCAATAAAGAAAGACACGAATTAAGATGTTCATATAGTCACTGAACCTCAAAGGCTTTCCTCTTGTATAATCTCTAATAATACACACTTATGAAAATAAAAACGCTTATTAATAATAAAGGCAGCTCTTATCTAGCAGACTTTCAATACAATACAGACTGTTCTATGGGATATAATATAATTACTTAATTTTCACAATGCTACTAAAAATATGGTGCTAATATTACCAATTTATAAATGAGAAAATTTAGACATAGTTAAGTAATTTGCCCTATAAAAAATGAGTTATAGTGGTGAAGGCAAATAAAGACTAAATATTGGTTAAATCCTTTCCCACTCTGATTTAGTTCAAGTTAATTTTAGAAAATAAGTTTGCAAATCTGAACAAGATTTGGGCAGGGTAAACTAATTTTCTACAATTTAATATTAATATAGCCTTCATCAAGTATGACTATCAGATAAATAACTTGTTAGCTAAAGCAAATTGGTGTCCCACATATATGCCAATTATATTATAAATTCTTTTATTTCCCTTAAAGGTTAATGACCCTGATGTTGAGAAAGGTTTAAATGATTAATGTCGCTGAAACCAGTTTGGCTCAGTGGATGGAGCGTCGGCCTGCGGACTGGGTTTGATTCCGGTCAAGGGCATGTACCTTGGTTGCAGGCACATCCCCAGTAGGAGATGTGCAGGAGGCAGCTGATCGATGTTTCTCTCTCATCGATGTTTCTAACTCTCTATCTCTCTCCCTTCCTCTCTGTAAAAAATCAATAAAATATATTTAAAAAAAAATAAATAAATGATTAATGTCTCTAACACATTTGCTGCCTTCACACTTTCCTTACATTCATGAAGGTTTTTGCTTTTGCACCAATTGAACTGATATCAAATTAATTTGAAAACACAAATAAATGCTTCCAATTCCTAACATTTATAAGGTTTCTCATCAGTAACAAATGCTCAATAAATTCTGGCCCTTAAATAAAGACTTTATATCTACAGTACAAACTCTGATATTAAATTGTTATCCTCAAATGCTTTCCCACATTCCTTATAATCACAGGGGTTTTTGTTTGTTTCTATTTTACTAGTATGAACTTCAGATTACAATTAAATTCTGAACTGTCCCTCATGTCTTCATTCATTCCTCTATGCTGCATGAATTTTTTGATGTTGACTAAGGTGTGAGCCACGAATAAAGGCTTTTCCACATTGCTTACATTCATAAGGTTTCTCACCAGTGTGAATTTTCTGGTGTCGATTAAGTTCTGAGCCACGACCAAAGGCCTTCCCACATTCCTTACACTCATATGGTTTTTCACCAGTATGACTTCTCTGGTGATGAGTAAGTTCTGACCTTCGTATAAAAGCCTTCTCACATTCCTTACATTTATGGGGTCTCTCACCAGTGTGAATTTTTCTATGTCGAATAAGTTCTGTGCTACAAGTAAAAGCCATTCCACATTCCTTACATTTATAGGGTTTCTCACCACTGTGAGCTCTCTGATGTCGAATAAGTTCTGAGCCACGGCGAAAGGACTTCCCACATTCCTTACATTTATATGGTTTCTCACCAGTATGAACACTCTGATGTCGAATAAGATGTGAATCAGAGATAAAAGCTTTCCCACACTCCTTACATTTATGAGGTTTCTCACCAGTATGAATTCTTTGATGCAGATTCAGTTGAGAGGCACAACTATATGCCTTTCCACATTCCTTACATTCATAGTGTCTTTCACCAGTATGACTTATTTGATGAAGACTAAGTTGTGTATCATAACGAAAAGCTTTACCACATTCCTTACATTTATGGGGTTTCTCACCTGTATGGATTCTCTGATGTCGAAAAAGGTGTGAGGGACGGGTGAAGGCTTTTCCACATTCCTTACATTCATAGTATTTCTCATCTGTATGAATTCTCTGATGTAAATTAAGTTGTGAGGTAGATGGAAATGCCTTCTCACACTCCTTACATTTATAGGGTTTCTCACCAATATGAATCCTTTGATGTTTTGTAAGTTGTGAGCTAGAATGAAAGGCTTTCCCACATTCCTTACATTTATGAGCTTTCTCACCAGTATTAATGCTCTGAGGTTTAGTAATTTCAGAGTCCTGAATAAAGGCACATTTCTCATGTTCATTACTTTTCTTTCTTTTATGAATTCTCTGATGCTTAATCAAGTCTGATCTACTATTAAAGGCTTTATCATAGTCTCCATATTTAGAGCTCTTTTCCTTATTATGACTGCGTTCATGTTGGAGGTGGTATGCTTGGTAACTGAAAGCTTCCTTACATTCCTTGAATTCACATTTCACTCCAGTATGAATTATCTGAGGTAGTCTATTGACTGTACACTGAATAGAAGCAGACCTTTCTTCAGAGGTCATTACCACTGATTTGAAATGTCCATCCTGTTGTTTCTCCAAGTAGCATTTGATTTCACTATTATCTTTGACCCTAGTACACACAAGGTTAGAACTTATAGGTCTTTTTGTTATCTTTGGTTGCAATGATTTAATTTCATAACTACCCTCCTTTGGAGATAAATTCTTGGTTTCTCTTCTGGACTCCCAATCTGTAAGATAACAAGAAAATAGGAGGTATTTTTTATTGCAGGAAAAAGGAAAGCTTTTCTAAGGTAGAAATTACAAACTAAAACTAGCAAGTAAATAGCTCTTAAGATTGCTTTGCAAAAACAAACAAACAAACAAAAAAAAACACAGGGGGCAGAGGAAAATGAGAATAGATAAAATAAGGTGAACTTATAGAAGTAGTTCTTTGGAGAAGTGTCTATTTAGGTCCTTCGCCCATTTTTAAATTGAATTGCCTGTCTTCCTTTTGTTAAGTTGTATGAGTTCTTTATATATTTTGGAAATTAACCTCTTGTCAGATGTATCATTGATATATATGTTCTCTCGTACAGTGGGATCCCTTTTCATTTTGTTGTTGGTTTCTTTTACTGTGCAGAAGCTTTTTATTTTGATGTAGTCCCATTTGTTTAAATTTTCCTTTGTTTCCCTTGCCCTAGGACAGTGGTCAGCAAACTGCGGCTTGCAAGCCACATGCGGCTCTTTGGCCCCTTGAGTGTGGCCACGAAGTTTCAATCGCACTGTATGTGCGCACCCGCACGTGGTATTTTGCGGAAGACCCACACTCAAGGGACCGCAGTTTGCCGACCACTGCCCTAGGAGATGTATCAGCAAACAATTGCTATAAGAGATGTCTGAAATCTTGCTACCTATGGTTTTCTCTAGGATTTTTATGGTTTCAGACTTACATTTAAATATTTTATCCATTTTTAGTTTATTCTTGTGTATGGTGTAAGTTGGTGGTCTAGTTTCATTTTTTTTTTTTGCATGTACCTTTCCATTTCTCCTAACACATTTATTGAAGAGACTGTCTTTACTCCATTGTATGTTCTTGCTTCCTTTGTCAAATATTCTCCAAAGACGACATACAGATTAACCAAAGAAAGTATATGCATAACCCATGGACATAGAGTGGAAGACCTGCGGGTAGAGTGGGGACAGGGTGGAGGGTGTCAATGGGGGTAAAAAGGGGACATCTGTAATACTTTCAACAATAATTTTTTTTTATTATTTAAAAAAGTGGTTCTTCACCTCTGGTGAGAAGCTGAATCAGCTGAGGAACTTGTAAAATACAATGTCAAGGAACCATCTAAGATCAACTAAACAAGAATCTAAAGGAGTAGGACATTACAACTAACAGCAAGTCCTCCCATTTCTAGCCTCAAAATATATCCAGATTATGTCTACTTCTACCAGTATCTTTACCACCTATCCAACCATACTAAGATTAACATGCTATCATAATGGGTCTCCCTACTTCCACTGTTGCCTTCCTAATACTCCATACCCAATACAATAGCTAGCGTATCCTTATTAAAATAAATTAGATCATGTCATTCTTTTGCTCAAAAACCTCCACTGAATTTCTTTCTCAGGAAGAGTGAAAATAACCTCCAAAGGAAAGAGCAAGAGATTACTCCAGAAGAGGAGATAAATGAAATTGAGATAATAAATTTATCTGGTTTAGGGTTCAGAATAATGATGGTGAAGATGCTCAACAGTATTAGAAAAGATATAGGAACTATAAAAAAAGAACAGTTGGAAATGAAAAATGACATAGCACCAATAAAGAACACATTGGAAGGAATTCGAAGCAGATTAGGGGAAGCTAAGGATTGGATCAGTGAGTTAGAAGACAGGATTAAAAAAAATCACTCAATCACAGAACCAAAGAGAAAACACAATTAAAGGAGTAAAGGAGCTATGGAACAATATGAAACATAACAATATTCACATTTTCATGTCCCAGAAGGGGAAGAAAGGGATAAGGAGATAAAGAACATGTTTAAAGAAATAATGGCAGAAAACTTCCCTAACCTGGTGAAGAAAAAAGTCACACAAGTTAAGGAGGCTTAGAGTCCCAAACAAGAAGAACCCAAACCCACATCTAGACACATCATAATTAAAATGCCAAAAATTAAAGAAAAAGAGAGAATATTAAAGGCAGCAAGAGAAAAGCAATTTATTATGTACAAAAGAACTTCCATAGGCTGACACCTGATTTCTCATCAGAAACTCTACAGGCCAGAAGGGAATGGCATGAAATACTTAAGGTAATGGAAAGCAAAGATCTGAAACCAATATTACTATATCCAACAAGGCTATCATTCAAAATAGATGATGAAATAAAGAGCTTCTCACACAATAAAAGGCTAAAGGAGTTCATCACCACCAAGCCAGCATTACAAGAAATGCTAAAGGGACTGCCTAATAACAAGAAGAAATAGAGCCCTAACTGGTTTGGCTCAGTGGATAGAGCATCGGCCTGTGGACTGAAAGGTCCCAGGTTCGATTTCGGTCAAGGGCATGTACCTTGGTTGCAGGCACATCCCCAGTAAGAGGTGTGCAGGAGGCAGCTGATCGATGTTTCTC